TGGCCCATCCTGCACCATCCCATCCTGTTCCTCCAGCCCGGTGGTAGGCTTTGGACAAGGATGTGGTCTCGGATCAGGGGCCTATGGTTCATTCCTTCCAACTGGGATATCATCCTCCAGTCTCGGCACATCCGCTGGTCTCCCTGTTTCCTGCATCAGCCAGATCCCAGCAGCTGAAGTGGTCATCCAACCTCCCGCCTCTGTGGTGACCATCCCAGGACCCGTTCTCTCTGCAAGCTGTGAGCCGCTTTCTGTGGGGGGGAACACACCCTGCACTGCTGGATCCTATGGATTGAATGGCTACGGAAGAGGGATTTACGGGCTCGGGAATGGTTACAAGAGGTTCCTGAGGGGGGCAAGCATCTGTGGATATCCTTGCTAAATTCAGATTGAACGGACACATGGAACCAGGAGCAACCAGGAAATGGCAAAGGGTAATGTAGCCAAGTTTTGGTTCCTGAGCTCCTACAAACGTTGATGTTCAGCATCCCTGACAAATAGGCTCAGGATTAGCTATCCCTTATTTCCTTTGAGCTTATTCTCTCTCTCTCTCTCTCTCTCTCTCTCTCTCTCTCTCTCTCTCTTCCATAACAATGTGGTTTGCTCCTCCAAATCATTAATAAGGCATGGTTAATCTGCATCTTCTAGAACCTGTGGATGTAGGACTCCAGTTCCCATGATCCCTTGACCATTGGTCATGCTAGCTAGGGCTGATGAGATGTAGACTTCAGCTTTCCCATCCCTGTTCTAGAAGGTTATTTCACTTCCTTCCTGCAATATATACCTAAACTAGGCATGGCCAAACTCGGCCCTCCAGATGTTTTGGGACTACAGTTCCCATCATCCCTGACCACTGGTCCTGTTAGCTAGGGGTGATGGAAGTTGTAGTCCCAAAACAGCTTGAGGGCCAAGTTTGGCCATGCCTGACCTAAACTAAGTTGGATTCCAAAGTGTCTCACCCTGTGTGGCAGAGCCACAGTGCAAACTTCTCAGCGGAGATGTCACTGTGGCTTACCGGGGCAAGGTGTAGGAGGTTGACATGGTGAGGTTGGCATGGTATGGATTGGTATCACCAGTGCAGTGGCACAACCTTCATCTTCCAACTTCCTCACCTCCACGCCTTCCAGTAAGCAGCAGTGACACCTCTGCCAGGAGCACTGCCGATCTGCTCAACTGAATGAGCCCTTTGTGGTTGGACCACATCCTTGTAAATGATAATTGCAGTTAAATGTGCTTTTGCAACATTATAGGAGCCACTGATATTTTCCAAAGGGTGGGGGATGAAAGGCATGGGGGGTTCTTTATTCAAAGGAGCTGAGGAATTCTGAGGGGAGGCATTTTGCTGAGACGGTTTCAGTGGGTGGAGTGGGGAGAATTTTGTGTGGAGCTCAAAGCAAATTTGAAATATTCCATTCAGGGTAGACCTCAGCAGAACTTTGAAGGTCTGGGCTCAGAACACTATAATTTCTCAAGGAGGGTTCTCCACGATTTCTGAGATTGCCCCCAACATCTTTCTGAAAAGAAAATTCAAAGTGGGTCTGTGTGCTTTCTTAGGTGAGAGCCGTGTGATATACCTAATGCATTTCCTCAGAAGCTAGGCAAGTCAGTTATTGCTCATTCATTCATCTCCAGCAGAAGATTCCAAATGGAGATATTGGCCATATCTGCATATGCCTCATCTGAAGTTACTCTGCAATTGAATTTCTGCAACTGATATTTACAAATGGGGAAGCTGTGGTGGTGTCCGCTCTTTTTCCTTATTAAACACTCTGCGTAGTAGAAACACATTTGCTTTCTTGCTTTCTTTCTAATGTTTTGCAGATCAAAGGGTTCTCATATCCAACATTAGTTCAACTAAGGGCAGGCACAGTAAAACTGATGGACGGGACTAAACTAGGTGCATTAATTTCAGTGGGTCTACTTGGAGTAAAATTTAGCTGGATACAACCCATTTTATTATGACTCAATCACCGAAGAAGCTGCCTTTTACCCAACCATACTATTGTTCCATCTAAAAGGTAAAAAGGGAAAGGACCCCTGGACGGTTAAGTCCAGTCGAAGGCAACTATGGGGTGTGGTGCTCATCTCACTTTCAGGCCGAGGGAGCTGTCGTTTGTCCACAGACAGCTTTCCAGGTCATGTGGCCAGCAGGACTAAACCGCTTCTGGTGCAATGGAACACCATGACTGAAGCCAGAGTGCACAGAAACACCGCTTACCTTCCCGCCGCAGTGGTACCTATTTATCTACTTGCACTGGTGTGCTTTCGAACTGCTAGGTTGGCAGGAGCTGGGACAGAGCAATGGGAGCTCACCCCATCATGGGGATTTGAACCGCTGGCCTTCTGATTGGCAAGCCCAAGAGGCTCAGTGGTTTAGACCACAGCGCCACCCACATCTTAGTATTTAAGACCGTAAGAACAGCCTGCTGAATCAGATTGGTAGCCCATCTAGTCCAGCTTCCTGTTTCCACAGTAGCCAATGAGATGCCTGTTGAAAACCCACAAGCAGGGTATGGCCACCAGAGCACCCTCCCTTCTGTGCTTTCCAGCAACTGGTATTCAGAATCATCTCTTCCTCTTACTATGGAGTATAGCTTCCCTAATGGCTAATAGCTACTGATGCCCTTCTCTTCCTCCATGAAGTTGTCTAATCCTCTTTTAAAGCATGCAAGTTGGTGATCATCACAAGTTGGGAGTTCCACAGTTTAACTCTGTGCTGTTTGAATAAATAATTTCTTTTATTTTTCCTGACTATTCCAACATTCAGCTTGTGGGTGTCCACAGGTTCTGGTGTTATGAAAGGGGGATTCTCCCCACCTTTGATTCACTTTCTCCATGTTATGCTTAATTTTATGCAATTTAAGCTTTTTGAAGATGACTCTATGAAATTCACACTTTCCAAAACAATCTGAGAACCAAAACACAGCTAACTTTCTAAATTCTCCCTCATCCAAATTTAGTGATGTTGGTTCGTTAATCAAACAAAATTTATAAGAAATGCAAATATTAGTGCTCATAAAAATGAAGATGCAAATGAAAATGACATTTAAAAAATGCATTATATATGGGGAAATGGCTTGCAGAAAATGTGTACTTTAGCCAAAACTGCATACAAAAATGTGTTTATTAAGATAAATTTACACCAAAGTGATGGGTTTTTGTGTGGATTAAAAATAAATAAATTCAAATTGTAGCAGAAATGTGGAGAACTGAATTTAAGATTGGGGTGTGTGAGAGAGAAAATAAGAGAACTGAAATGGACATGTCCTTTTCATCCCTACTTACTGCAATCAGTTTACTTCTACCTATATGAAATGCACACAAATTATCCTAATATATACCCCAGCTGGAGGCTTGGTAGAAAATACCTCTGAGAAGGATATGAACACAATAAATGGCTTTTTCTGCCACCTGGAAATATCCAGGAATGTCTTTCTCACCCTTGCAGGAAGTGGAAAGTCCTGAAAAAATGTGGGATGGGTTAGCAGCTGTCAATCCATAGAGAGTTGAATAGAATGGGGGGGGGGGATGTGTCTGTTTGTTGATGAGTGAAGATGCAAGTTTTCGAGTACCACAGAGCTCCTTGCCAGCTGATATTTCTGGAGCCACACAGAGCTCTTTGGCAATTGCTAGGAATTGTACATTCTGCAGGAGGAAATGAAGATCTGATAAGGACCTGGATGCTTCTCATTTCCCCACACTGAACTGTGCTTCTCCAATAAGTGTCGGCTTACAAGAAAGAGATAATGACAGGGTTAGGGAGATAAAATTAAAAACACACCAAGTCCAGACTGAAACAGGCAGTTGGCAGCTCCACCCCACTCCCCAGCTCTCATGTTCTCTTACCCAGGGGCTATCTGAGCATTTAAGGTGTTATTAAAATCAAATTTGCTTTACTGTTGCAGAGAATGCTTATAGAGCGTGCTTGATCTTATTGAACACAGCCCATGAAACCTTAGGGGCAACAATGAGGAAGGGGAATAACTCTCAGAGTGCTACCAAAATAAAAATAAAAATCCCCATATGAATTCATCAGATTTTGGGAGTGATAATTACCCACGGGAAGCAATGGTGATAATGACAAACTTAGATGGTTTTTAAAAAGGATTGGACAAATTCAGGGAAGAGAAGGTGATCAATGGTTAAAAAAGGTAAAGGACCCCTGACAGTTAAGTCCAGTCGCAAACGACTCTGGGGTTGTGGCGCTCATCTTGCTTTACTGGCTGAGGGAATGTTTGTCCGCAGACAGTTTTCTTATGGGTCATGTGGCCAGCATGACTAAGCCGCTTCTGGCGAAACCAGAGCAGCACACAGAAACGCTGTTTACCTTCCCACCGGAGTGGTACCTATTTATCTACTTGCACTTTTTGGCATGCTTTCGAACTGCTAGGTTGGCAGGAGCTGGGACCGAGCAAGAGGAGCTCACCCCGTCACGGGGATTCAAACTGCCGACCTTCCGATTGGCATGCCCAAGGCTCAGTGGTTTACACCACAACACAACCCTGATCAATAGTTACTATCTATTTAAATAGAAGATTGGAAAGTTGCTGTTGGACTCATGTCCTGCTTGCAGGCATCTTGGTGGCCAGTGTGAGAACAGGATGCTGGACTAGACTGATCATTGGCATCAACCCTACAATTTCATGTCCAGCAGAAACATAGGATGCTGCCTTCTACAGAGACAGACCACTGATATGTCTAGCTCAACACAGTGCATGTTGAGAAAGAGAGCCTTATTTCAGCACTGGTCACTGGACAGCACCTTCTGCCAAAATGGAAGGCAGCAAGCAAGCTGAGAGGAGGGCTGGGCAAGCTACCTAGGGGAGACACACTCCTCCAATGCCTCACTCCAGTGCCACCTGAGGAATACACCTCTCCCTCTCTCTGTCCAATGGTAGGACTGGCCCTGGAGCAGAGGGTTGGATATTCACTTCCTGATATGCATATCAAGGCAATAGTTCTCCCCGCCCCCCCAAAGAAGAAGAAGAAGAAGACAGTCATGATGATGCAACATTAATCTTTATTCCAAAAGAGAGATGGGCAGAGAAGCAGTGGAGGAACAGTATGAGATTGTTACATACAATATACACCTAAGATGGCAATCGACAACATGCACAGAAAAAAATATGCAGGATGTGTGTGTCTTTCCCCACACCCACTGAAAGAGGTAGTTTGCAGTAGCATTGCCAACACTGTTGAGAAGGAAGATGGTGACTTTTTAAAAACTTCTTTTAAAACTTTTGAATTAAAGACGAGCAGATCAAGGAGAAACAGGATAAGAATGTAACCAGGCTTGATCATTCAGTGCTGCTGTATAGCTTTCTTCTTCCAGAGGTGAAAGGGGAAAAAGTCTGGTGAGCAGCATTTCTGAAATCTCAGCAGAACATGCTCAGAGTTGTAGTTCGGTGTCTTGTTTCTGTTTCCGTGTAAATCCGTTGCAAGTTTCAGCATTTAACAAGGTCCACAATTGGAAGGAAGGCATTTCCTGCCATATCTTCTCCAGCCACCATAACCACCATAACCACCATAACCTCCATAACCTCCATAACCTCCATAACCTCCGTAGCCTCCATAACCTCCACAACCTCCATAGCCGCTATACCCTGAACCATATCCTAGCCTGCCGTATCCTCCATAGCCACCAGAATATCCCAGAGCTGGATAGCTACATGGTGAGATTTGGCCCACGGCAACAGGCTCAGAAGATGAAGACAGGATTGGTCCTGGGATGGACACGACAGAGGGAGGGGGCTGGATCACAACTTCTGACCCTGGGAGCTGACTGCTACAAGCTACGGAGCCATAACCACCACCGTAGCCAAACCCACCACCAAAGCCAGAGAGGGAGCCGGACCCATAGACTGGGACCAGACCACAAGACCCTACGGATCCTGCACCACCATAGCAGGAGCCCACGCCACAAGGCACATTGCACACAGATCCACAGTGAGTCATCTTGATGTGTCGGGTGAAGATCTGGTGAGAAGAAGAAAATGCAACACAATATCAGTAAATTAGAAGTACGTAGCAAGAAGCAAGAAGCAGGAAGGAGCTGGAATTTCTTGCAAATTTGAAATCGGTGGAAGGAGATCAAAAAATTTGGAAAGGTCTATAAGAGCACATATTTTGCATTCAGAAGACCTCAGTTTCGTAAGGACAGCCTGCTGAATCAGGCCAAAGAGGGCCCATCTATTCCAGCATACTGTTCCTCCAGTGACCAACTAGATGTCTCAATGGAAAGCTCACAAGAAGGACCTGAGCTCTAGAGCATTCTCCCTTCCTGTGATTTCCAGCAACTAGTATTCAGAATCATTACTGCTTCTAACCATAGAAGCAGAGCAGAGCTATCATGGCTGGTAGCCCTCAATAGCCTTCTCCTCCATGCGTTTGTCCAATCATTTTTTTAAAGTACATTAAAGTTTTGGTACTAAGCATCTCTAGGCAAGATGATCTTGAGCAGCCTGACTGAGAAAGACCTTGTAGAGATCTGCTGCCTCTCAGTTTAGTGCTAGATGGAGGAAGATTTGTATCCGATACACATCCTACTCCTTTGCAATGAATGGGCATGAGTAATTTAGGCTCATTGGATGATACTCAGTGCTTGTCCTACTCAGAAGAGACCCACTCAAATTAATGGTCATGGATAGGAGCATAGGAAGCTGCATTTTACTGGATCAGACCACTGGCACATTTAACTCAGTGATGTCTACACTGACTGGCAGGGCTCCCCCCCCCCCATGAATTCAAACTGGAGACATTCCCCATCCTACCAATCTTGAAGGATTGACCTGGGACCTTCTGCATTTAAACCAGATGATCTACCACTGAGCTGTGACCCTTCCTTTTTAGGTCCATTAATTGTAATTTGCCAACTACTGTAAGTAGAACTTAGTTGGTTACAACTCCAAACATCTGATTCCAAGTAATATACCACAGTATGTAGACTATATAGATCAGTAGAAGCTCAGTAGTGGAGGAAATGTTTTGTACAATGGACATAATAACATTCAAAATTGCCATATGTTGGATCAGAACATTGGTCCATCCAGCTCACTACTGTCTTGCAATGATAGCCCTACTTGGAGATGCAAGGAATTCAACTTGTGACTGAGCTACTGCCCTTCCCCTAAAAGTAAAGTGAGATACTAGTCCTCAGCATTCCAAATAAAAAGGTGATTTTAAATAATAACATAGAAAGCTGCTGCATATGGCATCAGACAGCTGGTCCCTCCATCTCAGTATTGTTTTACATTGACAGGCAGAGTTTCAGAGATGGTATACAGCAGGGGAACACCTGGGACATTCCGAGCTAAATTCTCTCTTATGGACAACATGGAGAACATTAATGGGGAAAGGGAAGAAAAGAGAGTAAAATCACGAACACAGAACCTCATATATCAGAGCAGTTGCAAGAAGAGGGCATCAGATCACACTCACCTGGTTCTCTGAGATGTAGAATGAAGCAAAAAGTAGGCAGGAGAGAGATCTGCTGCTGGAAGTGTACAGAGTTGCAAGCCCTTTTATACAATTTCTTCTGGCAGTGTCTAGGGTGTGTGTACCACCCTCTCCTATGCACTTTGCCCTGATTAGATCTTGGAGGAGGGGGAAATATGCTGATGCATCATATTCCAAGTTGCTCTCAAATTCTTTCACCTCCCTTTCATTCTTGCACCCATTAGACTATATCCCGTCCCATTGCATCAACAATGTTAACGCCCTGCTGTTTGGAGATGGGTCACTCTTGCATCAGCAGGGGAAAAACAACAGCAACCTAATACATAAAACCACTTTCATTCCAGTGCCAAGGACTGCATCCAATTCTTTACCTCCAGCATGAGAAGCTCACTGAACTTTTGAGATCGTCTGCTGTCACGTAGGCAAAGTTGCCAGTAAGCTCAGGATTACCAGCGGCGAATGTTGCCTAAGGTGAAATTCAAAGAGGATTTTGGAGCACTCGCTCTGGTAAATGCACAACATATACAACACATTCCAAAGAAAGCTAAGAATTTCCGGGGTTTATTTTTAAAGCCCTATACGGCCTAGGACCCTCATACCTACGGGACCGCCTCTCCTGGTATGTCCCACGGAGGACCTTACAGTCTTCAAATAAAAACATCTTGGAGGTCCCAGGCCACAGGGAGGTTAGGCTGGCCTCAACCAGAGCCAGGGCTTTTTCGGCCATGGCCACGATCTGGTGGAACGCTCTGTCCCAAGAGACTAGGGCCCTGCAGGACTTGACATCTTTCCACAGGGCCTGCAAGACAGAGCTGTTCCACCAGGCCTTTGGCCAGGGCCCAGCCTGACCCCCTCCTTTGGTAATCCTCACAGAACTCTAGCCCAATGGTTGCCATTAATTTGATTTGAATTGATTTTAAAATGAATTGATTTTAGAATGCTGTGCTACTTTTATTGTTGTTAGCCGCTCAAAGCCTGGCTTCGGCTGGGGAGAGCGGGATATAAATTTATTATTATTATTATTATTATTATTATTATTATTATTATTTATTTGAAAACCCTCTGAATCAGAGGAGCTGCTCCTGACATGAAGATTGGGGGCTGATGAGCAGGCAAGCAGTTTTCTAGTTGTGTGCCTTAAGCCTATGTATTAATAAGGTGTATGTTCAAATTAAGATATTCCTAGCACTCACTTTTGCCTTAGACTTGGAGATAACTTTCTTTCTCACATTATTGTTTTTTAAATGGGGTGGCCAAATCTACCAAATATGGCTGGCATAATGATGTTTTGGGCAGTTCCCAGGAGAGGCATGTTTGAAAGGAATAGGGCAGGAGAATGCACGAATTGGTGTCAATAATCAAATTTGCTTTGAGCAGGAGGGATTGGAGATCACATCCAGAAAAGGAGTGGTCTGGACAGCAAATAATGGTTAAAGTGTTGGACTAAGACCTGGGAAAATCCTGGGGTAAAATCCCCACTCAGTCATAAAGTAGGTGTCTTTAGGTCAATCACTGTCTCTCAGCCTAAATGAATGAATAGATCCATCCCATTTGGGTATCGTTGGAACTTAATCATATATTCCTTCTGTCTTGTTCCATCTCTTGGCATGCCACGCCATCCCATTGTACCAACTTTGTGAATGCTATTCACATAAAATACAAACTTTTCAGTACATTGAACAGTAGGGATGAGCACATCTCAGCAATCTCATTTTTCCAAAATTGAAATTCAGTTTTCCCCATTTGTAAATCAGTGTGCAAATGTACATTTCTTATGAAAATTCACCTGCACTTCGGTGCAAATTTCTCTTAGCATAAAGATCTTTCTGGGCACTTTTGCAAAAGAAATTTCCTTCTTCTAATGCAGTATGTGTGCTGTTTTCGTTGTGGTATGCATTTTTATGCACACTTCATCCTAGCACATGCATTTCTGCACACACTGCTTGGCTAGAGAACTGCACTGCAAAATTCACAGATTTCCAAGGACAGCTCATGTATTGCTTATGAACGTGTGAATTAGGTAGCTTCCCCTCCCATTGAGGCAGCTGGACGGCCATTGTGAGAACGGAATGATGGACTAGATGGGTCTTCTAGGTTTGCCTTTCAGTGCAAAGTGACTTGAATTTCTGCCTTTTAGCCAGCACACCTCCCCTCGTGTTGCTCTCTAGGAACTGGTGCTCAAGAAGTCGTCTATCTCTAAACCTGGAAGTTTTTTCTAGCCATAGTGGTTAATAGGTAAAAGGACCCCTGACCATTAGGTCCAGTCATGACCGACTCTGGGGTCGCGGTGCTCATCTCGCTTTATTGGCTGAGGGAGCCGGCGTACAGCTTCCGGGTCATGTGGCCAGCATGACTAAGCCGCTTCTGGCGAACCAGAGCAGCACACGGAAATGGCGTTTACCTTCCTGCCAGAGCGGTACCTATTTATCTACTTGCACTTTGACGTGCTTTTGAACTGCTAGGTTGGCAGGAGCAGGGACCGAGCAATGGGAGCTCACCCCGTTGCGGGGATTCGAACCGCCGACCTTCTGATCGGCAAGTCCTAGGCTCTGTGGTTTAACCCACAGCGCCACCCGGGTTCCTTATACAGCAATCAATTAAAGCTTAGCTAATATCACAAAAGGCTCTGCATGTGGCATACCACACCTGGCCTTTCACCTTTTGGGACTAAAGAGTATGGCCTCACGCTGACCATTCCAAAGACCCATGGGTGGAGCTGTGCTTTAATTAGATAGGTTCACCTTTAAACAAGAAACGAATCATAGCTAGCCGTTTTCACCAGCAAAATACAGATTTTCCTGCATGCTTCTTTTTGTGCACTGAAAGTGCACTTTGGAATCCAGAGAAGTTTGCACTTCAGCTGAAAGCAAGTCGGGTTTTTTTGACTTATATCCTACTTTATAACCAAGAAAAGCCAATTTGAGCTAGGAACGTGCTGGTCTTCCTCCAGCACTTTAGCCACTGCATGGCACTAAGGTAAAGGTAAAGGGCCCCCTGACCATTAGGTCCAGTCATGGCCAACTCTGGGGTTGCGATGCTCATCTCGCTTTATTGGCCGAGAGAGCTGGCGTACAGCTTCCAGGTCATGTGGCCAGCATGACTAAGCCACTTCTGGCGAACCAGAGCAGCGCACGGAAATGCTGTTTACCTTCCCGCCGGAACACTACCTATTTATCTACTTGCACTTTGAGGTGCTTTCAAACTGTAGGTTGACAGGAGCAGGGACTGAGCAATGGGAGCTCACCCCATCGCGGGGATTCGAACCGCCGACCTTCTGATCAGCAAGTCCTATGCTCTGTGGTTTAACCCATAGCGCCACCTGTGTCCCTACTGCATGGCACTAGTTTTCAATAAAATCATTACAATCATCCTTTCTCTCAAATGTCTAATTTAAGTTGTAGCATCTACAAATACATCAAAGAAATAGGAGCATGGGGAGCAATAAATTTTCAGGGCTTTAGGCGAAGAACATTCCCAGCCCTACTTGAGATTCATGGATTGAACATGGTACCTTCTGCATGCAAAGCAGATGTCCTACCCCTAGCGGGCCCTTTTCTTCCTACTAGGCTTCAGACTGAGAGGACTGCCCTCACTCAGAGCTGGCTTCAGGAACAAATCAGAGCAATGGCAACTTCTACTGCCCTCACTCTGGAGAGCTACATCCCTTCCCTCCACAATGGGCTAGATCCAGGGGACCATTTACTTGTTGTGGGTGGAAGGAAAGCAAAGGCAATGACTTGATGTCACAGGCTGAGAAACAAAACAAGCTTATTTAGGCAGATAGAACAAATATCAAATTATGAGGAATGCCATGTGATTAAAGCACCCCAGATGCCGACGCTGTTAATCATAAAGGGGATTTAAATTTCAAAACAATCATGCAAATGGATTTGAGAGGCCTTAATTTGAGAGGCGTTGCCGTTGATCAACAAGAGGGTGTATGGCTTCGGGGGAAAGAAACTGTTTTAATTGTATCCCTTTTTTGCATGTACAACAGTGATAAATATTTTTACAAGACTCGTTTCAAAGGCACCTGCGTGACACCTACCCTTTTGGGTGTAACTTCTCCTTTCATGAGCCGTTAAATGGAGGCACATTAAGATTGGAGCTACCTGGAGTCAAGAAAGAGTCCTGATACACAGACACACCTGCCCCCCCACCCCCGCCGCCACAAGCATTTCATTTAAGACAACATCATTTCTCATCCCCAGAGTTTCACCTGAGAAGCATGCTCCAAATGCCCTAGTCAAAAGTCATCTAGTCCGACCCCTGCAATATAGGAATCACAGGGTGTTTGCCTGGGGTGGTGGAGATGTCTGCTGGAGGAACCTACTTAATTTGCACTTCTTTTAGAAAATGAATTTTATTTGTTTTATTTTTTAGAAAGTAAGGTAAAGTTAAGATAAAGAACCCACGACTATGGGATTGCGGCGCTCATCTCGCTTTCAGGCCGAGGGAGCCAGTGTTTGTCCACAGACAGTTTTCCGGGTCATGTGGTCAGCATGACTAAACTGCTACTGGCACACGGAGGACCGTGACGAGTGCCAGAGTGCACAGAAATGCTGTCTAGCTTCCTGCTGCAGTGGTACCTATTTATCTACTTGCAGTGGTGTGCTTTGGAACTGCTAGGTTGGCAGGAGCTGGGGCAGAGCAATGGGAGCTCACCCTATCGCGGGGATTCAAACCGCCGACCTTCCGATCAGCAAGCCCAAGAGGCTCAGTGGTTTAGACCACAGCGCCACCCGCAAAGTAACAACAAGTGAAATCATTAAGCATGCTGGAGAGCCAGTGTGGTGTAGAGGTTAGAGTTTCAGACAAGGACGTAAGAGAAACCAGGGTTCAAATCCCCATTCAGCTCATGAAGCTCACATGGTGAACTTTAGACCAGTCTTTCAGCCTAACTTCCTCGCAGGGTTGTTGAGGGGATTAAACGAGGAGGAGAGTTTTGCCATGATAATCATTGATCACTTTTTATTCAAATTTTGCTGTCTGCAAAACAAAATCCTGGTATCACAACATTCATGTAATGCATCTCCCCCCCCCCCTGCTTTATGGCAAGAAGACAGTGGGAAGTTATCAAGATCCTTAAAACTTTTTTTGGTTTCTCTTCCCATCCCACCCCGAGTTGTTACTCTGAAAGCAAGGAATATGAAACATGGGAAGACGCCCAGAGGGAGATGACTGCAAGTGAGGATTTCCCTGGAACAAAAAACAAAGACCAAAGGAGAAGGAAGTGATGGTATTTCAACGTGTTTCACAAACACTCATCACTACTTCATTATTCATAAAGTAATGGGCTGTCATTACTTTAATGGTTTGTAGACCAGATTGGATGCCTAAGTGATGGGTGGCTGAAATGTTTGCCACACATTCAGGGTACCTGCTCCGATCTGAACCCAAGAAGAACCTGGTACATCAGGTCTATGGTCCATCTGGTCCAGCACAATTACCTGAGGATAAGTGGGGGGTTACTCCTAAGTGTGTGTGCGTGTATGTGTGTGTGTGTGTGTGTGTGTGTGTGTGTGTAGAATCAGGACCACCAATCGGATTTGCTAGAATAAAATGTGTTATATATATACACACACACACATTTACCATGTAGGCCTGCTTCACTATACAGTGGTACCTCGAGTTACAAACGCATCAGGTTACAAACTCCGCTAACATGGAAGAGTTACCACGAGTTAAGAACTTAGCCCCAGGATGAGAACGGAAATCGTGTGCTGGCGGCGCAGTGGCAACAAGGACCCCATTAGTGAAAGCACACCTCTAGTTAAGAACAGTTTCAGGTTAAGAACGGACCTCCGGAATGAATTACGGTAAGTTCGTAACTAGAGGTACCACTGTATTTCTCTCATTGCTTGACAGAATAATTGCATGGGAATGTTGCACAGTTACTCTCATTAAACTAAAATAAAGCCAAGCTCCTCATTTACTCTGGGGATTCCAAAACACCTAGCTGAAAAGGTGCTGGGAGGGTTGTTAAATTAAAATAAGAAACCACTCAAATGACAGGCCGTCCATGGGTGTAACTGCATGCCTATTAAAGAAGGATTGCATGAGTTCCTCATAAAAGGCTGTGGGAAAGAGTAGTGGTGAGGCTTCTTCATGTGGGCAAAACAGCAGCTGGAATTTCATTAAGAGCTCATCCCATAGCCTCAAGGGAGCTTGAGTCACCGCATAAAAACACCATCTTCCGAACACCATGGCCAAACTGTGTTGCCATGATCCTTAGACTTCTCGTGCACCAATGTTATGTTTCCCCACCTCTGATTGGAGCTTGCAATTCCTTCCTTGGAAATGTAAACCTTGGGGACTCAATGGTCCACTCAAATATGAGGCAGATGCTATGGAATAGCTATTTCTTCCAGCATCCTGTTTGCATAGTGGCCAACTGTGGCCAATGGGATAGCCACAAAAGCAGGACCTGAGCGCAGCAGTAGTCTCCCCACTTGTGGTTCCCAGTAACTGGTGCTCAGAGCCCTGATTGTCTGCAGCATGTTCAGAGGTAGACTGTCTTAGGACATGGAGGCTCTACTCTGAACGATCATGGTTGTTAACGTTTCTTCGTTGCCTATCTTTAGGTGCCAGGCTAAAATATTCATTTTCTCCCAGGCCTCTGGCTAATTAAACAATCCATGGCCTTTTAAACAGTGTGTGTGCATGTGTGAGATTTTTGTTTGTTACTATGTTGTGTATTTTTATATTGTAAGCCACCTTGTGTTCCTTGGATGAAGGGCGGTATATAAACTATTATTATTATTATTAAAGAAGAAATAATATGTCTGTTGGATCAAGTTAATGTCCCATCTAGTCCAGCATCCTGATCTCACAGTGGTCAACCAGATACCACAATGGGAAGCCTTCACACAGGACCGGAGCAGAACAGCAAGTCAATAATAATAATAATAATAATAATAATAATACCTTTATTGTCAATGTACAACATGTGTACAATGAAATTAACTCTGCACTAATAGAATCATAAAAATGTACAGTAGCTGGTCTTTAGAAACAAATTGCCTTTGACAATGGAGACAGAACATAGGCATTTTGGTTAGTTGCCTTTCCTAGCCTTGTCCTCCATGTCTAATCCTCTCTTAAAGGGTAAAGGGTAAAGGGACCCCTGACCATTAGGTCCAGTCACGACTGACTCTGGGGTTGCAGCGCTCATCTCATTTTATTGGCTGAGGGAGCTGGTGTACAGCTTCCAGGTCATGTGGCCAGCATGACTAAGCCGCTTCTGGCAAACCAGAGCAGCACACGGAAACACAGTTTACCTTCCCGCCGGAGCGGTGCCTATTTATCTACTTGCACTTTGACATGCTTTTGAACTGCTAGGTTGGCAGGAGCAGGGACCGAGCAACGGGAGCTCACCCCGTCGCGGGGATTTGAACCGCCAACCTTCTAATCGGCAAGTCCTAGGCTCTGTGGTTTAACCCACAGTGCAACCTGCGTCCCTAATCCTCTCTTAGAGCCTCCCAAATTGGTGGCCACCATCACTACAACTTCCTCTGGGCTCTTCTGGGAGAATGATGTTATCAGTGGCTACTAGCCTTGGTGCCTGGTTTCCTTTCCCCTTGCCACTCCTTAAGTGCCCTGAACCCCTCCTCCAAAAATCCCTCCACAATGTATTCACAGGGTTGCGTCCACTAACTGTGATGCACCTTGTCCACCTAGGGCTGTAGCGGGAGGCAGGACTCACCTGAAATGGGGTGGAAGAATCTTGCATCAGTTGTTGGAATGCAATGTTGGATCCAACATCAGGCTGCATAAGTCCAGCCATTTCACATACTTCAGCTGAGACATATTTTGAAATGGCAATCTGTTTTATGGCAGTTGTTATTGTGGTAGATCATTCCCAGAAGATGAACCAGAACATCAGAAGAACAGCCTGCTGAATCAGGTCAAAGGCCCATATTGTCCAGCATTGTGTTCTCACAGTGACCAACCAGAATGGTCCAAAGGGAAGCCCTCAAGAAGCACTCACTCTCCCCCACTTGTGATTCCCAACAACTAGCCTTCAGAGGTATCTTGCCCCCCAACACTAGATGGAGAACATAGCTATTGTGGCTAGTGACCATTGATAGCCATATCCTTCGGGAATAGCCTGGTCCTCTTTTTAGTGTCAAGCTCTAATGCATGGAAGCTAAAATGCTTATATTGAAGCCTCAAAAATATCTCAGTTGTTTTGGGGTAGCGATGGGGCTCAGGTATTCCTGGATTCCAGCTCCCATCTGGCTCAACTACCATAGCCAATTGTCAGGGGTAATGTATGTTGTAGTCCAACATTAGAGATCCTAACGACTTAATTTAAATACAATTCAGCCAAAGACCTTCTAGGTGTTGCTACTCTGTATTCAGAAGCATTTAACCTTTGACACTGGCAGCAGCACATAGAACATAAGGATTCATCTGTTCCAGCATTCTGTTATTGAGGTAGCCAATCAGATGCCCCAGTGGAAAGAGAAACCCACAATCAGCAAGCTAACACAATAGCGATTGGCATTGAGAGACTACTGCCTCTCTGACAGTGGAGGTAGAACATGGTCATGGTTGGTAATAACCAACCACCTGGTCGTTAAATAAATGGAGAGGATGTCAGTAACAATGGAAGGGAGGAGATCCTGCCAAGCAATCCTTGGCACTAAGAATTAAGGAGGTTAAATGAGCATGACTCTATTTTCACCTGTTAAAGCAATATGGGGAACTTCAGGTTCAGGGGCTGAATATGCCCACCAAGACCTTTCCATGTAGCCTTTTGGAACTCTCCCCAGATGATTCCTCCACTGTAGCAACATCCTTCCTTCCCCAGACCATGCCTCTCACTGTCCCTGCTTCATGATCTCTCTGAATCCGCCCCCCCCCCGCCCAGGATGGAACATGTCATTGAACTCTGACAATGCTTCTTGCTTGCCTGGATTTGGGATTTGAGGAGAGTGATCTCTCTCTCTCTCTCTCTCTCTCTCTCTCTCTCTCTGTGTGTGTGTGTGTGTTGTGTAGAAACTAGACTGCTGCACGAAGGCGAAATTGGCATAAATTCCCCACCTACTTTTACCTTTGGTTTCATCTGCCCCTGGTATGTGGCCCCTGTAAGCTTAGCAGGAGGGAATGTGGACCCGGAGCCGGAATTTCTTCCCTTCCCTTGTGTTAACTATTGAAGGATAAGGAAGATAACTGACAGGCAGAAGAAAACCAGAAGGCAAATATTAAGATGCAACGGTTAAGCTTTATTGAGTAATAAGACAATCTGTAATCAGGCAAGCTGATTCCAACAGGACCAATTACAAGTTGAGAAGTAAGAAGGACGAGTTTCTTGTTGTTGCTTTTCGTTATCTCTCTCCCTGCCAAGAAGCAGGTTTAAAAGGGAGTAACAAATATCGTAAGATTGCAGAAAACCTTAAACACATGACATACACAGGGAAATGATAAACTCCAGCCATTGAAAGGAAAGTGGAAGAGAGGTATATCAAAGGGCTGCATTTCAGAAGACAGGAGCCTCCCCAGCTATCAAAGGGTGGTATCCAATGATAGTCCATCTCATAGCAGACTCATTGAAATCAATCAACAAGACTCATTTAGGTCCACTGTTTTCAATGGCTCTGCTCTGAGATGGACTTAGTTGGCTACAACACATAGACTTTGGGGGAGGTAGAGAGGTACTCGTTGTTTCTGAAATTACTGAGTGGGGGCTTGGTAGCCCCCCGTGGCTTCCCTAGGATTCCCAGCCATTTAACACGGTCCACAGCTGCTGTAGCTGCATCGTCGGGAATAACCGGGATAAGAACAAGGATACCCATAACGGGATCTTCTTCCATATCCATATCCATATCCACAGCCATAGCCAGATCCATATCCCCCGTAACCACAATACCCTCCATATCCAGTGGCGCATGGAGCATTTTGTGCTACGGCCACCTGGTCATTGCTGGCAGAGAGGATGGGTCCCGGGATGGTCAGCGTAAATGAGGGAGGCTGGATCACCACTTCCGAAGGCGGGATCTGCGAGACGCAGGATGTGTTGATCCCACAGAGGGCAGAGCTGCAGCTGTTGTATTCGCAGAGGGCCATCTTGGAAGGATGGGAAGGAATCTGAAACAGTATACAGGTTGGCAAGTTTAGATCTTGACGGAAGCACAACTCTTCACACGTTCCTCAAGAGTGAATTTTGTGGACAAATTCATGGAGGAGCAGAAGGCTGCTCATGGCTACTAGCCGTGATGGCTATGCCCTGCCTCCACAGTCAGAGTGTAATACCAGTTGCTGGAAGCTTCAAGAGGGGAGAGTTGCTCTTGGGCTTGGTTGGGTCTGCTTGCTGCTTTCCCACTAGACAGGGCATTGGCCTGATACATCAGATTTTTCTTATGTTCTTAAAATAAGTTTCCATCCTGGCTAATGTAGAGAGAGTCCTTCTAGCCCATCTTATCCAGCATCCTTTCCCCCATAAGAAAATCTAACAGGGCTCTTCTTATCTTTAACTCAAAACTGAGTTATACATTCAGTGCTAACCTTATTCAGAGCAGACCCATTGAAGTCAATGGACATGACTTACCTAGGTTCCTTAATTTCACTGGGTCTACTCTGAGTTGGTTACAACCCTGAATTCTGAAAGTATTAAGTAAATGCTCACAGAAATGATTTCTGAAATGTTGCCCAACGCTAAGCTTTGCAAGAGCTCCTTTCAACATTGGTCAACAGAGGTTGATTTTGCAATAATGATGGACCAAGATTTTTTTGAAGCTTCTCTAGATACCTAGATGCTTATCCTGGCCTGACTTAGGAGAAGAGAAGGTGTGGACACTTGTTCAGACATATCACCCTGATACCATTGATTCAATATAGTTTAATCAGCGTTGTAGGGACATCACATATAACTGAATGGTTGAGGCAACTAGTGTGGTTGTGATTTTCATTTAAGAGAAAGTTTAGAGTAGGGTGTTCTACAGCTCAGAGGCAAAGTGCATAAGAACCTTCTGATCAGGCCAGTGAGGCTTCTGGATCAGGCCAGTTGCATGGTATAACTGTGCACTGCTTAAAGAAGTACATGTTTTGCAGTACATGTTTTTCACGCAAAAAGTCACAGGTTCAATAACCTTGACAGGACCAGGACAGGACAAGGTTCTGAAACCTTGGAAAGCCACTGTCAGGGAATATACAATTCTTATTGCTTCAAATTTAAGGTCACAGGCCAACTACAGTCCAGTATACCATTCTCACATTGGCCAATTAGACCCCCCTCCATGGAAAGACCACAAGCAGGACCCAAGTGCGAGAGCACCTTCCCTGCTTGGCATTAATTAGCATCTGATATTCAGACGCATCCTGCCTCTGACAGTGGGGGTAGATTGAAGCCACCATGGCCAGCAGCCACTGATAGCCTCCTCCATGAATTTGTCTAATCCTCTTTTAAAGCTACCCAAGATGCCCTCGTAACAAAATTCTCAAAGGACCAGAATTTCAAGGAAGACAGTTTGAGAAGCAGTGTCCCAAGTGAAGGCAAATATGCTTACCTGACTCTCCAAGGAGAAGGCAAGATGTAAGCTGTTGGAAGTCAAGGCGAAGCTGTTGGAGATGTCCTCCCACCGAGGATGTTTTTATACCATTTCTGTGGCGCATGTGACCTCTTAGTAATATGATGCCCCCATAATTAAATGCCAATTTCAAATCTGTTATCTGTGCAACTCTTCGAATTACTCTGAAGTTGGTGCTTACCACAGCATTTAGGGTTATATTGGTCTAGGATTGTCATAACAAGGTCATGATGTTTGCTTCACACCCTTGTAAAAAATTCTGATGTCACAGGCAAGGATGAAGGAGTATCACACTATTTGGTTTAATTGGTGTTGTATTAAATACGTTAATAAAAAAAAAGGTTCAGTCTCATTCTGTTCCCTGAAGATCCTTTGTTGGGAGTTTCCTTTCCATCCTGGATCTTCCCATGTTTCTTGCATGCTGGTGTGATCTGGTGTGATCCAGAATTTTTTGAACACCAGCTCCCATCATCCCTGGCCATGTGATTGGGAGGATGGGAGCTGTAGTTTATGAAACATCTGGAGGGCCACTGGTTTACAATCCATGTTCTACACCTCTAAAAGTGCATTTCATACGTGATCCCTGATTGGTTGGGAACATGCTAGGACAAGTGTGGCTGGACTTCAACTCCCATCATCTGCCACTACTGACCTTACTTCTGAAGAGTGATGAAAGCTGGAGATCATCCACATTTGGAGTGCTGCAGGCTCCCCATTCCTGAACTATGTTATACCAAAAACAAATACATAGTTTTCCAAAACAATTTTGTGGAGTCCATGGAAACAACCAAACTTTTGGCAATTATAAGGTTGACAAGAGAAGTAAGGAAAGGAGGTTTCTGCTAGAGGAAAGTGTTGGGCAATCTTAATGAAAGATGCAGCTGCTTGTACCTTGAGTAATAATTGCACATCCTTTTTACATATGCTGATCAGGGCCTTGTACCATCCTCTTTGATATCCTCTATCCTAAACAGGGCGGCACACAGCCTACACCCTCGAAGCTATAGTTATTTATTGCTTTACATGCCACTTAACCAAAGGATGACAAGATTACACTCTGTTGATCAAGCGATCGTCCACGGAGAGAGAATGTAAAAGGTTGAGGCATTTAACCACCACAATGAAAAACAGGTGTTGCAATTTCGTAACTGCTTAGGCTACTGTTGCAGGAGCAACATGCTCTGTAGATTGCAGCTACCTCCTGAGAGGTTGTCATAAGACAATAAGAACATAAGAAGCTGATGGATCAAGCCAATGACCCCTCTAGGCTAGCCTCATGTTCTCACAGTGGCCAACCAGAAGCAAGTGGGGGCCTCAAGCAGGATCCAAGCACAAAAGCACTCTGCACTCTTGCTGTTTCCAGCAACTAGTATTCAGAAGCATTACTGTTTCCAGTGGTGGAGGCAGAGCACAGCTATCATGGCTTGTAGCCATCAATAGCTCGCTTCTCTATGAATTTGTCTAATCTCCTTTAAAACCATCCAAGTTGGTGGCCATCACTGCCTCCTGTGTGTTCCAGAGTTTAACTCTGTGCTGCCATGACTAAGCTTTGTTTATTCGTTGTTGTTGTTGTTGTTGTTGTTTTAAAAAAAGTCTGTCTTGAATCTTCCAACGTTCAGCTCATTGGATTCTAGGGGAATGTAGGTAATGCTGAAAGTCCTTCATGGAATTCTTCATTGTGTTCTAGGTCAGTCTAGGGGACATTGGATGTCCCTGAGTTCTAGTGTTAATCCATGGGCCAGGGGTGCTCTTCATGCATAGTTGAACTCCAGCTGCCACCAGTGCCACTTGACATGACCAACAATGATGTTGGTGGGAGTTTGAGTCCAGCAACATCTTCAGGTTGGCAAAAGACTGATCTCACCAACCATTCAACCACATGTTGCAACCCCAGCTGGGACAGGTGTGCTGGGCCCGGGGGTAACCCGAGCAACGCAGTCCAGGTCTGGTCCCGAATCCAAGGGTTCCGCGAGGAGTCAGTCCAACAGGGCTAAGGCAGGACACGAGGCAGGAAACCAGGCAAGGTCAGGCACAGGGTCTCAGGCAGGTTCTAGCAAACAGCAGTGTTGCTCCCACAACATGGGGCAGGGTCCAACAGCCTTTTATCATTGTCAGGGTAACGGCTGGTCTTGATCCCCCAGTGGCTCACCTCCCTGTCTCGCCTGAAGGTGAGCACTCTTCCTGTGAGTACCCAGGTCTTTCCTTCTCTCAGACCTTAGTCTCTGCAGCTCGGCAGATGTCGGTGGGTTACTGGACACAGAGGCGGCCTCAGCCTCTCCTGACCCAACCAGTAGTGGAGCAGCTGTAAGTGATTGCCCAGCTGAAGGCAATGAGGTAATCGCGACATCCGGAGCCAGGGCAGGCTCAGGTCCCTGACTCGGCCCAGCTGGTGCCTGTTGCAGGGGAACCTGTGCAGACTGGGGCTCTTCAGAATCAGGCCCCAGACTAGGTTCAGATGCCGCCTGAGGCAAAGGATCCGGTGTAAACTGAGACTCCTCTGGTTCCGAGTCTGAGCTCGAGTCCCAGGCCATCACAACAGGTTTACTTAGAACTCAAGATGTATACTTGGGACTCATGGTGTATGTTTGACAATATTTTTGTTAGCAAACTTTGGCAGTACTGAAGGGGGAACCTGTGGTGCTCCAGATGTCAGGCTTCAAATCTCATCATCCACAGTTATCATGGCCAACAAGAATCACAGGAGTTGTTGTCCAGCAATATCTAAGAGGGTAACAGATTGGGGGAAGGTTGATGTAACTGATCAAAGATTGCAGCTCCAGCTACAATGGATCTACCTTCCATGTGGGACTCAGGAGTTACTCATGATATTTTCTGGCTAGGAAACTGTGGGAAATGCTGTGGTCCTCCAGATGTTGTTGGGCTCCAACACCCATCATGCTCAGCCAGCATGATCAATAGGGACAACTTGAGGCCCACTGGTTTCCTATGCTAGAGGGGATTCCCCCTCCCCACTTCCTAAATTCTCCTCGCTCTGCACATAGATTTCAAGTTCTTATATTCTTGTGGGATTGTGTGGGGTTTAATGAGAATGAGGTAAAACATTATTTGAGGATGAGGTAAACCATAATTTGCAGAGGTGTCAGTGGTGAAGGTTTTTTTGTTTGTGTTTTTTAATTAGAAGTGCCAAAACCTCATTGGGTGTTATATACCTATGAAACTGTATGAAACTGCCTGAAAAGCTGTGACTTCTCCTACAGATTATCTTCCCTCTGGCCCACATTCTCATCTTCTGAGATCTAGGTAAGGCATTACAATTTGTCTCCGTGTCCTTGTCCCATTTACTGTAAACAAGTTTGATGCAAATATGTGTGGCTTTGTTTTTAATTGTGGACCATTAAAGGGGGACAGATTCCTGTCACATTTACAGGAACTGAAAGGGCTGAAGCTCAGTGGTAAAGCATCTGTTTTGCATACAGAAGGTCCCAGGTTCATACTCCAGCATCTCCAGGTAGGGATGGGAGATACCCCCTGACTGAAACCCTAGAAAGCCATTGCCAGTCACTGCAGACAACACTGAGA